TATCAATCAGACTGTGAGCAATTATTAAGCACCTAGTCTGTGCCGGGCACTGGGGCTATAAAGACAAAACAAAGCCCCCAGAGAGCTGGGATACTATCAGGGGTCTGTTATGGGAATCACACGAGAGAATCTTTGCAAAGTGCTTCATAAGCCTTAAAGCACTATTTCATTGCTAGCCATTCTTACTGGACATAATAATAATGACAATAAATAATCTAATTTTATCTTTAGATCTAATTATATATAAACATATAGATAAAACATTTAATATACAAATATAAATTATATGCTATATCATATATACATTATTAATTATGTACAATTATAAAATGATATTAATAATATTATTAATATCATAGTAATACTACCCTTCCCTCTCAGAGTTAATAGGAGGATTAAAGGATTATAAATTTAAAGCTAGAATGGCCCTTTTGGATCATTTAGTCCAATTCCCTCATTTTAAAGATGAGGAAACCGAGGCCCAGAGAGGGGTCAATGTGACTGCCCAGACTCACGTTGGCAGTAAGAAGCAGAGCGGGCATTTGAAACTGGGGGTCTTTGGCCCCCAATCTAGCACCCAAATAAAAGAATGTGTCAAGTATTTTATGCCCCGTCAAGTATTAGAGAAATGTTGGTTATCAGTGGCATCTCACTGGTTTGCCAGGGCACATCTCTGGCTCGTGATTCTGACTCCTGCCTCGAAACCCCAGGGACTGGCTGGGAGTCCCATCCTGACCTTTCGTTTGGAGAAGCTACTCATTAGTAATCGACTGTTTCGCTTGCTGCCACTCAGGTCCTCCCCGGATTCCACATCTTCTTCAGCTTTGCTCTGTTAAACAGAGAAAGAGAGGGAAGGACAGAGGTAGAGAGAGAAAGGAAGAAAAGAGAGAGCGGAGAGAGAGAGATAATAATATTAATAGTGATAATCAATAAAGTTTATAAACCTCATTTGATCCTTACAACAACTGTGGGAGGTAGGTGCTGTAATTCTTTTTAGAGAGGAGGAGGCAGGCAAACAGATGTGCAGTGACTTGCCCAGGGTCACACTGCAAGTAAGTTTCTGTGTCCGGATTTGAACTCAGATCTTCTTGACCTCCAGTTGAATGTTCTAGTAGAGGATTCTCCTATCAGAGACCTTCAAATAAAGGCTGATAATCACGTACTAGGCGTGTTCTCGTGTTTGGGAAGGAGCTGAATCAGATGGTCAGAGGCCTGGGGTCTTAGCCAGGGGATCCAGCCCTCTTCCCCAAAGAATGAGTAGAGTCTGACTAGGATATGTGCAGCCAACATTCTACCAGCTGAGCCTACCCAGTCATGAGAGGCAGTGGAGTTAAGGCTGGGGGGAGAGGGGTGGGAGAAAGAGCTGCAACTGAAATCAGGAGAGATTGAGTTTGAAGCTGAATTCTGACAGTTCCTAAATCATGAGCAAATCGTTCTCTGACCCTCAGCTTCCTCCTCTATAAAATGGGGATGCTACCTACATCAGGGGGGTGTTGTGAATAATAAATATGAGTTCTCATTTGACCCTCACATTTCTCCCTCCCCCCACCCCCACTCTCAGCTTTGGAGGAGGCAGGGCAGAGGTAAATCTTCTCTGCTTATGAGACCTTGGGAAAGTCACTACTTCTAGTTTGAATTGCCTCCTGTCCAATTAGGGGGTTGTATTTGACCTCCAAGGTCTAAATCCTATGAATTTATCTTTCCTCCTTTTGTAGGGGAGAGAGGGCTGAGGTCCCCAGCACCTGGGGATGGGTCCAGCTAGGCCCAGTTGGTGAAGGTCATAGGATTTTAGAAAAATCATCATCACCCCCATCATCGCTAACAATCATATCTCAAGGTTTGCAAACCTTATAAACATATATTTATAAATACATGTTTTTATGTATTATATATATATAAACATAAAAAATATAAACATATTTTATCTCATTGGCTCTTCACAACAATTCTAGGAGGTAAGTGATGTTTTATTCCCATTTATAGTTGAGGAAACTGAGGCAGACAACAGTAAAGTGACTTGCCCGGGGTCACAGAACTAGTACATGTCTGAGGCAAGATTTGAACTCGGGTCTTCCTGACTCCAAATACTTTGCTCTTTCCAGTTCATTGCCTAACTGTCTCACAGAGGCAAAGACTCTCAGAGCTGGCAGGAAATTGGGCAGTCAGCACTTAGCACAGTGCCTAGCACAACAATCAATCCAATAAGCATTTATTAAGTACCTCCTGTATGCCAGGAACTCTCCAGGGTTATAAGGTGCAGAGGAGGTACCAACCTGCATTGGCAGAGGGAGTTTCCTTTTCTGGGAGCACCCTACACCAGTGAAATCATAGGTCCCTACTCACTCCCTAGCTTTATATACCAGGTATAGAATAAGCACTTAACACTCGACTGGATTTTTTTTCTTCTTTCTCTTTTCCAGTCTTACTTTTTTTTTCTTATAAGTGATGGCTCTCCAGGAAGAAGGAGAAAGAGGGATATGGGGAAGATTTAGGCTGAATAAAGACAAAACCTATCAATAAAATTATTTTTAAAATAAATGTTTGATGAATTGTTGATTGCCTAACCAACTGGCCTTTTCCTTCATACAAAGGGCCATCCAGCTGAACGCTGCCAGGCCAGGCCCTAGCCGAGAGCCCTAAGAAGCAGGGCTCTGTCTTGGCCTCCTGTTTTCCAGGAGCTCAGTCTCCTTCAGCATGGACATTGCCAACCACAGACCATTCACTGCTTATTCTCAGCTAGAGCAGAGCTTGATCCACGCTTGCCCAGAGGGACTTCCTGTATTTACCAAAGTCCTAATTAAACTGAAATCAATGGGTTGAGCAACAAATGTGCCAAGAGAGCAGAGAGAAGAGAAAAACGAAAGGGAAGAGGGAAGAGGAGAGGAGGGAGGAGAGAGAAGGAAGAAGGGAGGGAAGACAGAAGAGGAAGAAGGGAGGATGGAGGAAGAGATAGAAGGGAGGAAGGAAGGAGGAGAGAGAGAGGGAGGGAGGGAGGGAGGGAGAGAGAGAGGGAGAGAGAGAGAAAGAGAGAGAGAGAGGAGACAGAGAAACAGAGACAGAGGGGAGAGAGAGAGGAGTGAGAGAGAAACAGAGATAGGAGAGAGACCACAGAAACAGAGAAAGACAGGGAGAGAGAGACAGAGACAGACAGACAGAGAACAAGAACCTGGGCTTCTTTATCAACCTGGTCACCCTCCAGACCCTTGACTTGACATCTTCCCAAAATTCATCTCCGGAAGTGGACCCAACACTGTAATGTGATGATAACAGTAACACCTAATACTGATATAATGCTTTAAGGATCACAAAGTGTTTACAATAGAGCATTCAGGCAGGGCACAGCAGTGTGAGATGGTCACCTCTTTGTTTCTCTCCTTTCCTGTCAAAAAGAGATGTGGTGGAGAGACTTGACTTGGGGTCAGAGGACCTGGGTTTAAATCCTGTCTCAAACACTTACTAGCTGTGTGACTATGGACAAGTCACCTTACTTCTAGTTTCTTCCTCTAAAGAATAACAGTCAGGCTGGGTGACCTCTGAGGCCCCTTTCAGCTCTGAATCTGTAATACTATGAGTTTAGGCATATCTCTCACCTCTCTGGGCCTCAGTTTCCTCATCTGTAAAATAACAGCCTAGATGACTTCTAAGATCTAAATCTATGATTCCGTGACCTTGGGCAAATCACCTTAACTCCTTGGGCCTCAGTTGCCTTCTCTGTAAAGTGAGGGGATTGGATTGGGTGACCTCCAGCTGAAAAGGTCTCTTCTAGTTCTAACTTTCTGATCTTTTAATCTCACATTTCTCACATCAGGTGAGCCCAGAGGAGCTGTGGACAGGCCTCCCCCACCAGGAGAGGAAGGCCAGGACCCCTGCCCACTTTGACCACCGTACCCTTCCCTCTCCCTTCCCCAAAAGGAGCCATCTGAACTGCTCAATTGTGCACCACACAGAGCTCCAGCTCGAAAGGGAGCCAGTTAGAGTTTGGGGAGGGTGTGTATGTGCGTGTGTGTGTGTGTGTGCGCTACCAGTCTCCGTGGGCAGTGCTCCTGCTTTATAAGCCACAGTTATTAAAAGATTAAATTACCTACAGAATCCAGGCCTGTTTAGGGACAGGCTTGAATATTAACACGGGCTCATTCTGGAACAAAGCCTGCCTGCTTCCTATCCCAGGCAGCTAAGTCACTTGCTGGTGCTTCCTTCCATGTCAGAGGCTCCCAGTCTTTGCCTTCATCCCCACCCCACCTCCTCAGCCCCCACAGAAAAGCAAGGGGAGGGAGAATGGGGAATTCTGGCTTTGTTAACAAGGCTGTTCACCTGGCAGCTTCCTTGACAGGGTGGCGTGTTCCACGTGGAAACTGGAGCTCTACATAAACATTTATATAAGCACCAAATTGTATCATGCTCTTGAGGTACTTATGGCTAAAGCCCGCTTTTCCCTGGGTTCCAATTTTTGGTTCCTAAGACTGCAGCCACCTGAGCTCCTTTCCAGGGGTAGACAGGCTGCTTACCAGAGGGCAGAGAGCCCCATGAAAACTTTATTAAGGAGATTTCAAGGCTGTTTCTCTTGAATCCTCTCAATGGGTATAAGTGGCAAGGGAGAGGATTTCTCCTGGCAAATTAAGGTCTTGCAGACCACGCCGAAAACGCGTCAGTAAGGGCTGGGCATCAAGATGAAACATGGGATAGGAGCCATGGATAGAACACATACTCACACTGTCCCCTATTCCCCTTCATTCCCATATACACACCCATGTACAAACTGCATACATACACAGACACGCCTATCCTTGGGTATATGCATACCTGCATGCCATCTGCCATCTCTCTTCTACTCCCATACAGGAACAGTCACCTGCACCAATCCTCTGTCTACATGTGTATACAGACATATCCGTGCACTGGCACATGGCATGCATATATCAATTGACCCTTATTCCTATATAGGTGCACATATCCATGCACCAGTCCTCCAGATGCATGCATTTACAGGAACATTGAAGCACTGGAACATGCATGCACATGAATAACATCACATTTTCCCACCTACACATATGTACGTACCCACATAAACCGACCCATCTCCCCAACTACATCCAACTCTCTCTCTCTGTGTCTGTCTGTCTGTCTGTCTCTCACCTATATTAGACTGTGATCTCAAGAGCAGGGGAATTGTTTTCCCTTTCTTCACGTCCTCAAGTGCTTAGCACAGTGCTTGGCACATAGTAGGTGCTATATAAATGTTAATTATTATTATTATCATATACATGTTTTCCCCAGTAGAATATGAGGGTAGTTTTCAAAAGAAATGTAAGATGTGCAAATTTAGAGCCATCTCCACCCCAAATGTTCATATGGACTGTTTGTGCTTGACCTGTGGTAGAGCCTTCCAAGATCATACTGGTCTGATCAGTCACAGTCAGATACAGGGTACCTTGACCCCAACATAGTGATATTATTTTGATCCTCTTTGAGATCCAATCACGAGGGCAGGGATTGTATTTGTCTTTCTTTGTCTTCCTAGGGCTTAGCATGGTGCTTGGTACTTAACAAAGTCCTTAATAAAATAAATGTGATTGATTGATAGGAAGTCCCACAGATGGGTCTGACAGTGAGCCATGTTATAAGTTTCACAGGGTGTCCTGAGCTCTCCCTTGAAATATAGTGATAATAGGAAAAAATAATAACCATGGAATTGTATGCTGAAAAAGACCTTTGAGTTCTGCCCGTCTCCTCATCTCACAGAGTTAACCACAGGGTTTAGAGCTGGTAAGGAAGTACTTTAGAAATCCAGCTAAAGCTAGCCTGTTCACTTTGCAGAGCATTAAATTGAGG